ACGTTGCTTTCAACACATGCTTTCCATCCAGTTCCCTTTGCCTGTGACGTAATGGATAATATTGCCTCTCTGCTCTCCCTTATGGAGTATGCTGAGCAGTAATGTGCTGCCTTCCTACCCAGTATCCAAGCACATGCAGGGGTTGAACTTATCCTGATTGAGTCTTTTTTTTTTTTAAGATTTATTTATTTTTATTGGAAAGGTAGATTTGTAGAAAAAGGAAAGACAGAGAGAAAGATCTTCTATCTGTGGTTCACTCTCCAAATAGCCTCAGTGGCCAGAGCTGAACTGGTCTGAAGCCAGGAGTCAGGAGCTTCTTCTCGGTCTCCCACACAGGTATAGGGTCCCAAGGACATGGGCTGTCTTGCACTGCTTTCCCAGGCCACAAGTTGCTGGGGGGAAGTAGAACAACCAGGACATGAATTGATGCCCATATGGCATCCTGGCATGTGCATAGTGAGGATTTAGCCACTGAGCCATTGTGCTGGGGCTCCAAGAAAAGTCTTGCTGGAAGCCTCTAAGGTAGCTGGAAACTGTTTAGGAAAGAAACATGGGTGGGGTAGAGAAAGCAACAGATATTCCAGGTCTGTTAAAGAGTTAATTCTAAAAAACTGTAAGCTCTGTGTTTTTGGTGGTTTTTTTTTTTTAACTAAAAGGAAATGCAGCTGTATATTTAACTTTCATCAGGATGGGAAAAGACCTTCTAAGCACAAAAACCATGAAAGAGCCAAAGATAGACCAGCAAGGCGGACTCTACAAAATTTTGATCTATTTTCTGTAAAAATCCCATAAACAGAAACAACTACAAGACAAATACCAAGTGAGGAAAGCATTTGTAAAAGGTGGGACAGAGTAAATACCGTATTGTGGATGGTTACAGAGCAGTACAAAAGACCACCCCGACCCCACAGGACAGTGGGCAGAGGACCTGCGGGGAGGGAGAGCTCACAAAAGAAGAAACAGACAGCAAATATGAATAGATCCTGAGAAACTGCTTTGAGCTGGGCTCTAAATCAGAAGATTCAACTTGAATTACGTTTGTCCCCTCATTGTTGCTGCTGCTGTTGTTTTTTTTTCCCCCCATCATTATCAGTTGATAGTGTTTAGCTAAAAGATAGGCATTGTTTGGATTTCCTGATGGAGTAAGAAATGACTGGAACCTCTTCAGGAAAGCAATTTGGTAACAGAAATCAAGTGTCTGACGATTCATACCCTGGGATCCAGTCAGTGTCTTTTTAAAAAGATGTCCTAAAAATGCACTTAGAAATGTTTTGCTGCAAGTGTATCTGGGGTGGCCTTTTCTCTAACACATCATGAATGGCACTGGCATGTCAAGCCCGGTCTGTCGCAGTCCCTTCAGTGCTGTTGCAGTGGCCCCAGCATGGTGCCTGACACACACAGGTGGTCCAGGAATATTTGTGAGATCAGAGAAGGAAGGCTGTGCTCATGTGCAGTGGTGTTTCGCAGGAGGACACCTTATCTATGATTTTGTTTTCTGTTGTTGCAGTTACCTATGGTAACCGCAGCCTGACCATACTAAATGGAAAATTTCAAAAGCAAACAATTCTTAAATTATATTTTAAAAAAATTTAAATTGCTTTGTTCTTCATTGATTCTTTTTGTTCATCTTGTAATATGGCTTGCTTCTAAATTAAAGGTTATCTTAGGCTTATATGTATAGGGGGGAAACTATATACAGAATTCAGCATTATCTGCTCTCTGCCATCTGAGAACTTACCACCCTGGAATATGGGGGGACTACTTTCCAACCATGTTTCTGAAATGTATTCCTAAGAATATAGACAAATGTTCACAATATGGTGTCAGCACAAAGAGTACATAATTGTATATATGAAATATTGGGGGGCAGTGTAGGAATTCTGAGTGGTAGGTGACTTTTCTGTAATTTTGGGGGGCAGTTTTCCTTGGCATTCAGCATAGATTGATTGGTCTGGACGGTAGGCTGTGAATGTTCCTCCAGGCCTTCCCTCATGGAGTAGATGAGTCCTTGGGAAGACAGGCGTGGAGTGGCTAATTACAAGGGCATTGATTCGGGCACTTCAGCATTCAGAGAAACAGGCTGTGGCTGGAGACAGTGAGAATGCAGGTCTGCGTTAATAGAAAAACATGTTTTCCACTTTCCCCCTCTATTTGTAAGGTTTCAGAAGTGTGGAAAACCAAGGACATGAACAACAACAAAAGCCCTCCTGGAGATTACTTGTGACCCTCAAAGCTTCTTTTAACTGGGAGCCAGGATGGAAAATTTTAGCTTCAGCACTGGTTTAACTGAGAGTGTGTTTTGTTTTGAAGTCCTGAGTGAACCCAAAGGATTCCAGAGATGTGTTTTGCTAACTTTACTATGTGTGATGTGTGCGAGTCAGACCCGAACTTGTGCTGCTGCACACCTATTTATCAGCCTCGTGCATTTCTGCATAGCTTTCTGAGCTGCCCTGTTGTTTGCTTCCTGGGAATACCAAGTCTCCATGCACCGTTGTGAAGCTAGATGGTAGTGTTGCTTCTCGGCCTTTTGGCTAAGATCAAGTGTGAAGCTTCGGAGTGGTGCCATGGTCTGTCGCCACCCTGCCTTCAAATGAAGGTTGCGTGTATGAGCTCCCTAGTGCGTTGGTAGGACTCCTTGCCCATCTCCATGTGCAAATTAGGAATGTGTGTTCCCAAGCTCAGGCTGCAGGCAGTGAAGTAATGACATCACTTCTCACAGAGAGCCCTGTTTGTGTGTGTGCATGCGTGTGTGTGTGTGTGTCTCCTTTGGGGATTGACCTAATGGACTTCTGCCGCCTCTTCTGCTGTCTGGTGTGGCTCATGGCTGTGTGGCACATCATGCATTCCAAACCAACCTGAGGCTTTTTCTCATTGGAAATCTCCAGAGTTTAAGAGCACAAGGTAAATGTGGCTCTGTCATGCATCCCTTTCCATCAGTGCTGATAGTCTCCTCTTACACAGAGAGTTCTCTTCCACTCGGGAGGCGTGTTCCCACCTCTGTCCCAGGGGGAATTAGAGTATTCACTGCTTCTCCTCGCATCTCCTTGCGTTGCCAAGTGGAGTTGTAGTGCTTTCTTCCTTGGAATCCCTCTCCCTGCCACCCCCACAACCCCAAGTCATATTTTTCTTGTCCTAAGAGATCTTTGCCTTAGAACTGTCCTGGTATTGTGGTGAAGTGGCTTCCTCTTTGTTTCATCTCACTCTCTGGCCCTCATGACTGGACTTGATTTACAGATTAAAAATGTTACACCCCCTGCATATAGAGGAGGTCGCAGAAGTTCTGGTTCTCTTGAGCCCGACTCTGGCGACTGGCGGCTGACTTCTCAGCCTCAGGAGCCCTGCCACCTCCACTCTCATGGACACTCTCTTTCCTCCTGATGCCTTTTCTTCAGCAGGGAATACCTCTCCTCTGTCTGGCATAGTTTGTCTAAAATCAGCCTTTTGCTTTCTGAGATGGCCACCCAAGGTCAGGGTCACCCTCTCACTGCCGACTGGTTGGCTGAGTGGTCAGAGGTTCTGGTGCTTAAGTAGTACTGGAACAAAAAAAGGTGGCAGACACAACTGAATCCAAGATATTTCAAGCATTGCTTGGCTCTTCTGCCTGTAAAAATTATGACTGTGCTCAACAAAGTCCCTGCCAAGGGTTGGGGCCTGGAATTTAGATTGTTTATGCAAGCTCATTATTGTTTTGATTTTGATTTTCCTGAGGGAAGTCATTGTAAACAGTGAAGTTCTCAGAATCACCCCTGCAAGAATAAACATAAACGCAGCACCACACTGGAATCCACCCTGCAGGCACCCAAATAGAACCCTCACATTGCAAGGGAGACCAGTGCATGGAGTGGCCCAGCAGTTCTGCCCAGGTGTGGGTGGGGAAATCAGGAAGCTTCTCTTTGCTGCTGGAAGCCAGGGATTTCTTAGTGCATGCCCTTGTTAGCTGTTGGGGAGGTGCAGCCACCACCTGTGACCACTGTGCTGGGTGAGCTGGGAAGACTTGTGGCAGTAGTGGGCGTCCATGGATTGTGAGCTTGCGGGTGGAGTTTGGTAGTGCACGCACAAGGCGTTTGTGTCCAAGATGTTCAGGAGTTGTGATCTACTCTCAAAGGTTTAAACAGCCAGACCCGGCTTGGTAACATCGTCCCTACTCAAGCTCCATTCTTTAAGAAAATCATGCTGTTGCCTGTTGTGGAAAGAGATAGGAAGCTGCACAGCGAGCCGGGGGTGGGGTGCGAGGGGAGTTAGGGAGCAGAGGGGAGACAAAGAAGAAAGAACACCAAAGCAACCATGGGAAGGCTTGTAACTAATTTTAACTTGGGTGCCAATCAGTGAATTAGCCTGTTATGAAAAGGTGAAATAGAACTTAGATCAAGTCTTTGTTATGAGGTGATATTTCAGAGTGAGGTATTTAGCCTCGCAGTTAAGATGCCACGTCACATGTTGGAGCCAGGACTTGAAACCAAGTACTCCAGCTTCTTGCTAATGCAGAACCTGGGAGGCAGCGGCAGTGGTGGCTGAAGCATTGGCTCTTGCCACCCACAGGAGAGACTGGCATGACTCTGGCCCCAGCCTAGCTCTGGCTGTGGTGGGCATCCAGAGAGTGAAGAAGTGGATGGGAGCTTGTTCTCTTCCTCTCTTTCCGTCTCTCAAATAAATGACTAAACAACATTTAAAAGCTCGTGTTTCGCGTGTTGACTGTGTTGATACATTCAACATAGCGTAAGGCAGAGATAAAGAATTCTTGTGCAAATAAATGGCTTCTAACCCCTTCCTAGAGTTTGTCTGTGTCTTGGCTGGTGCTACTCATGGTAACAGCTATGCTAACCCGGCAGTTCCTGTGTGCAGTCTCAGTGATGGACAGCATCTCTGTGTGACAACTGCTGTAATCATCCTCACTGTACAAGTGAATCAGTGAAGGCGCAGAGAAGTGAAGTGGCTGTCCAAACAGTGGCCTGGTTGTGCCCTGGACACATAAGCCAAGTGCAGCGAATGCTGTCTTCCAGGAAGAGAATGGAGACTACACCTATGTGGAGAGAGTGAAGATACCTCTGGACCACGGAACCTTGTTAATCATGGAGGGAGCTACCCAAGCTGACTGGCAGGTGAGGATGGCTGGTGACATGTGTGCCTATCCGGGCGGGGGAGGAGAGCTGGTTTCTAAGAGATCATACGGTGCAAAGCCAGTTAGTTGTTTTTATAACAAGCAAGAGGTGGTAAAAGGCCATTGCTTCCAAGCAGGTTGGCTCCTAGGAACAATCTACTGTGCCTCTGCAACCACCATGGGCAACAGAACTTGCCATGATGCTAGAAGTATTATCTGCATTGCCCACCATGATCACCACCAGCCACATACTTGCCTGCTGACCTCTGTAAAGATGGCTCATATGTTCTAAATCCTGTTTCAAGTGCCTTCTAGATGTGTTGGGCTGCACAGCTCCACAGCCAGGCCAGACCCTCCTCAGGCTGGCATCTTTTGTGAATCTCCTCCACACCTGTGTTTTTTCTCACAAGGTGTGGCGAGCTGACAGACATCATGGAGGAAGAGTGGCAGTGGAAAAGGTGGGATTGTCTGGGCCCCCCAGGGCACCAGCCTGGCACAGCAGGTTCAGCATGGAAAATAATTTGCAAAAGAGGCCTTTCTCCTGAGGACTTTCACATGCTTACCCTTAACTTGTTTAAGAAAGGATAAACAAACAATATTTGTGTCTCCTTATGAATCACTTTGACATCATTTTGAACTCTGTATGTACACGTACTTATGTCTGCAAGTAATTGGTATTTCCATTTAGCATCGAGTGCCCAAGGAGTACCACTCGAGGGAGCCGAGAGTGAACCTGACCTTTCGGACAGTTTATCCGGATCCAAGAGGGGCCACCCGCTGATGGGACATCTGTCACAGCGACGCCACAAGGAACCAGCGCCCACCTGCTTCGACAGGAAGTGTCCTGAGGCAGTGGGGGCTCAGTTCAGGGACGGTCATGTGGCCCGTGTTGCGAGGCTTGCTCTCAGCTCCGAGCCAGCAGCTCTGGGCGGCCATGTGTGTGCCATGGGAATGTCTTCTCCTCACTCTGTCTCAGAATCGCATGTTATCTTTAGGCAAATTAAAACTGGCTGTGTGGCTGCTTTTCTGCTTAAGCAGTTTTTCTCCCACCCTCCCTGCTGTCATTTGGGGAAATATGAATGGACTTGGGCCTCCACAGAAAGTCTGCACGTGTGGCTTCCGCGTGACGCCAGCGAGATAGAGGCATAAATATGTGTCAGTGACTGTAGCCTTCTGTAAGGTAGATGGCTTCTGCTGACACCCAAACAGAGGTGGCCTTGCAGGCTTGGCTCAAGTCTGCCCTGATTCTTCCGTGTCTTGCCCTGTGTGTCAACGCAGTGGCGATGGAGACACTCTGCTGAAATGCGTCTCCTCACCATCCATCTTCCTGGGATGCAAAGTGAAGGCAGTGTGACCGGCTGGACCGCTGTGACAACACACGCAAGCTGTCCCCTGCACAGGGAGGAATAACTGAAGACGATTCGGGGAAGTGGCAGGCTGGGACTGACCAAAAAGCTCTGCTAACATCAGCTGCTCCACATGGATCAGTTTCCCCTAGGGAACCACTGGGGTCATTGACACCCCAGCCAAACAGAAGCAGGAGCAGTCCTGCAGGGAATAGACTTAGCTACCCAATAGCTGCCTTCTCCTTGGATTGCAGTAGCCCGTGACTCAGGCTGTCTTCTGACTCAATGTTTTCTCTTACACACACGTTAACCAAGGTTCAAGGGTTAGGCTGTGATGTCACCAAAGTTCCCAAAACAGAACACAGTGGCTGCCCCTTCTTGCATCAGAAAAACACGTGTCTTCTTAACCCCTTGACTCAGCAGCAACGTGCCAGAAGGATCCCAAACCAAGATATAGAAAACCCAGCGAAAGAAGAATTGAAAGGGATAAAAGTAGGGCAGGCGGGATAGAGTTTCCCTGTTGGCCTGTGGGGAAAACGTGTAGTGTCTTCTTTCTGTCTGTCCTCTTTCCATTCCACATTGTGATGTTGGTGATGCCCATGATCCTGGTATGCTGCCAACGGCTGGGCCAGCTCTTAGCCAAGCTTGGATGCTGGGCTGGGCCAGCCCTGCTCTGTTCTCTAACAAGCTCCCTGGCTCTGTCCGTGCACGGTAGTTCCTGTTTGCTTTCTGCATTGTTTTGTTTTCAATGTGGATAACTCCTTTCTCAAAGACACGCTAAATGCCTTACCAAATGTGAGCCAGCATCCACAGCCTTCCTGCTTGGGAGGTACACACTGTGGCACAAATCAAATCAAATCAAATCTCAATTCCTGGTTCTCCCAGGAAAACAAACAAAACCTGGCCAGGCTGGTGCAGCCAGCTTTGGATTTGGGTCTGACGCCCAACGCTGGGAAATTCCTCTTCCATTTTGTCCAAGTGAAAGGGCCGGCAGATGGTGCACAGTCTCCCAGCCTCCCTTCCTCCTAATGGAGGGTCGTGATCTCCCCTCGCGTCAGCTGTGCATCTGAGCACTTCACTCATCACCCGCATGTCTGGCAAGGAAGTGAGTGCCTGCTCTCCAGCACCCTTAGCTCTCCCAGTCAGAGGGCAGCACATCATGGCTTCGGTCACTAGCTGTCTATAGGTATCATATGCCAGAACCCTCTTTTCCTGCATCCCATTAAGATAATGTCCACTCGGAGATGTTAGGGAGGTGGTTAATACAGAGGAAGACATGGACTGTAGACATGGACAGGACTTGCAGACCATGGCAAAGGGCAGCCGTGCTTTGCCACTTCTGCCAAGCTGCTTCTCTTTTCTTCTGGTGGCTGTGCTCATTTAGGAATGGAGGGTGAATACATTTGGCTAACATCTCATCTAAGGTAAAGGAAGTGACTAACTTACAGCATGAAGAGAAGCAGGGTTGGGGTGTGTGTGTGTGTGTGTGTATGTGTGTGTGTGTGTAAGCTGGCCCTTTTTTGAAACAGGATTTATTTATTTTTATTGGAAAAGAAGATACACAGAGAGAAGGAGATACAGAGAGGAAGATCTTCTGTTTGCTGATTCAGTTCCCAAGTAGCCGCAACAGCCAGTGCTGAGCTGATCCGAAGCCAGAAGCTTCTTCCAGGTCTCCCATGCGGGTGCAGGGTCCCATGGCTTTGGACCGTTCCCCACTGTTTTCCCAGGCCACAGGCACAGAGCTGGATGGGAAAGTAGAACAGCCAGGATTAGAACCGGCACCCATTTGGGATCTTGGTGCTTGCAAAGTGAGGGCTTCAGCCACTAGGCTACCACACTGGGTCCCTGGCCTTTCGTTTTGAACTTTAGCCTAGCACGCTGAGTCCTAGCTGCTTTTATGTGAGTTCTCATCACACCCCTCGAAGAGGTATGTTGCCGTTTTGAGACTAGACTGATCCCCAGGAGGTTAAGTACTTGGCCAGGACTTGTAGACTGAGCACTAGGCCCCTGTGCTATTCCCCGGTGCCATGCTGAATGCAGGCATCCTGGAAGCCTGAGCCTCAGGACTTGGCACCTCAGGGCTGGCCTCAGCTCCCCACGGGCCACCTGTTTGTCCCCTGGCTTCCTGTATGTCAGGGCAGCATCTGCCCCTCATCTCTGCTTAATCAACATTGACAGCTCTTCGTCCGGAGCCGCATTGCCGGCCAGGCTGGCAAATTAACCATTGAATTAAAAAATATCATCTCACTTCGGGAGGGGCGGAATTGTTTTCTGGTGAGTTGGATTCTCAGACCACCTTTCTGACTGGACATCTAAGCAAGCTACACCTCGAAACTTTCAGGGGTAGCTGAGTTTATCCTCCCAATTCCTCCTCCTCATGACCCGTGAGTACATTTGGGGACTCCAAACCAAATGATGCACAAGTCAGTGTGAGGCTTCTTGAATGTGGACCAGCATCATGACTGATCACCAGAACGGCTGCTTGCCTCAAAGGCAGGTCGGAGCAGCGTGACTGATGCTCTGCAGCTCTCTGTAGCCTCAGTATTGAAGGGAGGACCTGGAGTAGGTGCAGCAGGACAAGCCTTACTCAGGACACCCACATGTCCTTTTGCAGTGCCTGTTCAAATTCTGCCTGCTCTCTTCTGATCCATCTCCCTGCTAATGCTTTCTGAGATACGGCAGCTGAAGGCGCATGCGCTTGGGCCCAAGCCACCCGCACGGGAGACCTAGATGGCCTGGCTTCAGCCTGGCCTGGGCTTCTCTGTTGTGGGCATTTAGGGAGTGAAAGCAAAGCAAGATTAATGTTTCTCCATCTCTCTGGTGCTGCCTTTCAAGTAGATGAAAAAAGAAGGAAGGAAGGAAAGAAAAAAACAAGAAAGCAAGAAGGGAAGGAAAGAAAGAAAAGAGGAAGGAAGGAGGGAAAAAAAGGAAGGAAAAGTTAGCAAGTTTTGTTGACTAAACCACTAGTTCACTAGGTCACAGCAAATGCACCTGTCGTTTCCCTGCGGCACCCACGCCATGGTTGACCTGGCCCTGCCTTAGTGTATGGCAGGCCCACCTGGACCCGGTCAGTGACTAGGACTGGCTCTGGACTGTGTCATGATAACCCTAAAAGAGTTAAACAGGCCCTGGTATGAGCAGAAAGCTCCAATTGGAGGGTTTCATAGAAAGTCCCGACAAATGAAGGCTCCCTGCCCTCCTGGGAATACATCTTCTTTGAATCCTGGCAGCTTTTACTTGGCTGCAGAGTATCCAAGACCCACTTTGCCTTTTCTGGTCATAAACACTTGTGGTGTTGAATCTGAAGCCTTGATTACTTTTCTTAACAGTGCCTTTGCAAAAGCTGGATGTTTCCATAGCAATGCATTCTGTTTGTTTAAATCCTCACGTATACGTGATTCTGCCCACACACTTGCTTCACGGTGACCCTGGTTCACAACTGCCCTCCCCTTCTCTGCCCTCTGTGTTCTCTAAAAGGACACCCCTCCCCACACTTGGGACCCTCTGGCAGATTGGGGCCTCTGCAATCTGTCTTGGCAGTGATTTGGGGGCCTAGGCATCTGAAGGAAATGACTATGATGTCTGCTTATGCGAGAAGGCAGACTGATGGTGTTTTCTGTGGCTGACTGGGCACCTGCTGCTTGTTACAAAGCTGTCCCTGGCCTGTGGACCGAGTCCTGGCCCTGCTGGGCAGTGTCACATACCAGGGTTGGCAGCCAGGTCAACTAGTGCTGCTCAGAGAAGACCAAGAGTGATAATACTTTTTTTTGACCATTTCTGTGCTGTCATTCCCCCCTCAAGGGAGGGCTGATGTCACACTGCCTCAGCAGAGGGACTGTCCCTACCCCGTGTGACCTCCACGAGTATGGACCCGTCACAGCCCCAGCCCCAGGCGCCAGTTCTGGGTCTTTGGAATGAGAGGCAGGCGAGAGGGGAGCGTGTTGCACATACTACCTGAGTTACACCCCGCGGCAGCCCTGGGGAGAGCTAGGATTTTTTGTAAACACACTCGCGGGAGTAACTTTTAGAGGTCCAGGGAGCTAGTGGCTCTGAGCCCCGAGGCTGGAGCCTCCTTCCTGTCTCCCAAACCCGCTCCCTGACTTTCTTGGGAGCTGACAGAAGCAGGAGGAAGCTGGGAGGCACAGGGAGCTGGTGGGGCGCTGAGCCGCCCACCGCAGGAAGACTGGGGGTTAACAGGGGAGGAGCGCCTGCATTCAGAGCCAGCAGTGGAGCTTTAGCCTGGCTGCACTAGGACACGCCAGACAAACCACCTGAGACAATGCGGCAGAGGGTCCCTACCCTTTGGCAGGGTGGAGGCGTGGTGGGGGCAGGGGGTGCAGGTAGGGGGAAGTGACAACCTCTATACTGCTTGGAGACGGGTCCACCCCGGAAGTGAAGTGCTGTAGGCTCCTTTCCTGAAGGATGTTTGTGCCATAGCTGGACGTGTGATGCCAGGGCGGCTCTCAGACCCTGGCCTTGGGGTCCAGGCTACTGCTGGGACTACCTGGGCATGACCCAGCAGATACCCAGAGGGAGGAAATTGCCACATGCTCCCTGGTACCTGGGCTCCTAAGGCACTGCCCCTGGCTGGCTCCCACTGCCCTGTCCCCTGAGACCAGTGCTTGATAACCTAGCTGGGCAAGCTGGTCACCAGCTCAGGGGCAGCCCTGGCACTCTGGCAACTGCCT